TGGACGAACGATGATCTACGATTAGAGGATCTAAGAGAAATAGTCCGAAAGACGGGCAACCTGTGATTTTCACCAATTTGCACCATCGCGCAGCCGAATTTGATTAGGCATACAGAACACGGGCTGTTTCCCTTTGGCCCGGGGTGTTAGCAGATCAAAATCGTTGTTGGCAGACTGACCGACGTAAAAAAGAATATGTGCCCGAAGCTACTCCGACAATGTTCTGACACAACAGTGTGGACCCGGCATTACGCCCGGGTTCGCGAAAAAACCACGACGGTTCGCGAGATTATAAGGTTGTTAACGACATGCAGTCGCGTTCGCTCTGGCCGATGCAAATTACGCGGTAATATACAGTCCGGCATGCTAATAACGTTGCAGTAAATATCACCGCGTATTTCGCGTCGAGAATATACGACCGGGACGCGTTTATTTTTCCCGCGTAAAACACTCGTCGACGTAGTGCGCATGCGCGTCGTTTAACGGGGTACGTATGAAGAAATTGGTTAGTCGAATGTTTGTTTGTATGCGGCACCAATTATTTTATGGTAAAAATATTCATGAAACCTTTATGCGATCGTTTTTAATAAACTTTAAGCTTTAATTTAATGTATCATACGTGCTATTTGGTAATACTTTTATGTCATGAATTTATGTTTGAATTTTTATGTTTCAAAATTGACCATTTGATACGATAATGAAAATCACGAAAAATGAATAATGTCTCACTCGTATTTCAGACTATCTTAGATACTCTTTTTGATAAAAAGAAAAAAAGATAAAGAATCAGCCTCTATTGTCCTTCGTTGTTCTCTCCAGGCAACACCGAAAAGAGCAGCATTTTCTGTCGTTCCCTGATAAGCGGCAATTAACCGAATGATTTACGGACCTGCTGCGAAAGCAACGTTGGCCATGCTCGAACGATTATTTTGTAAACTCCTTGGACAGGTACGAGAACAACCGTGACGACGAATGTCTGATTTATCGTCGACCTTCTTTTCCAATGCTTCCATCGCCTCTGGGCTGACGCGTTAATTATTCTGGTTTAATAGAGAGCTTTTCAAAGCTTTCTCTTATCCTTCCTTTTTTATATTCATTTTTATGAAACTTTGATGCCGATACCATCTCTTCCTCTCCAAGGTGGTTGTTAAGCTTGTTGATTTATTAAACGCGTTACAAAGGTCTCGCTTGTTTTACCTTGTTAATTGTAGGTGTTAATCGTGGTTCCAGTTTGAAACACCGTGTTTGCTCGTTCCTGACGTGTCCCTTCTTTTTTCTTTTTTTTCTCGTGCTTTTCATCGTGGCAAATCGTTTCTGTTTAAACGAACAATCTATATTCTCTGTTTCGTTATTAATCATAGACAATCACGGTTAATGGTGTTTGAGTTTGAACGTCGAGTCATCAATATTAACCGAGTTGTTATAGGATGAACATCCTATTGGGACTTGCTCTTTTTAACCTTTTTTTTCTTCTTTTCGTTTGCTTCGTTAATGCAATCGTCTCCTGGTGGACTGGTAATCTGTTGGCTGGTTTATAAACACGTAACAGGTCTTGATGTTTTGCGTTGTTAATTATCCGCGCTAATATAGGAGAGTGAGTCTTGGCGTCAAGATACCAAATAGAGATCCTCGCGTTCATGTTCTCCCTTTACTGCTCTCCGCTTTTTCTAACGCGATCCTTTCTCATTGAACCGGTGATTCGATTTATAAACAAACAACTCGCGACTCCTTATGCTAATTAACGGGGTATATACTAATTACCGATGGTATTTTCCATCTGAAATTATTAATTTTCAAATCTGCCAATTTTCCAAATTATTAATTTTCAAATCTCCCAATTTTCTAAATTTCTAAATTTTTAATTTACCAAATCCCTCGATTTGCATCAACCTTGACTCGTCCATTGTTGGCGGAAGTCAAAGGACAAGGACTACCCGAAGATGGATACCTCGTCAAGTCTGCCTACGCGTTTCGTGCTGGTTAAAAAGGGAAAAAATCATCGAAGACTACGGTACACGATTAATGAGCCGAATCATTTTCCCTGGTATACACGCAAGCTTTTAAAATTGATACCACGCTGACGACTTTAATTGATTACGAAGCAGCCGGAAGACGATAAATCTTCGAGCTACGGATTTCGATCAACGTTGCACACGTAGATGATTAATGCCGATGCTGCTGTAATGTTGATGATTCGACCCTGTAAACGCACGTTGTGTCGTTAGAAACGATCTGACCGGCAACCATCTACTTTCTCTAATAAATCTACGACACCCATCGAACAAACGTTACGCGAAAGGGTGAAAAACAAAAGACAAGTCGAGGAATTTGATTCATTTTAACGAACCTCCATCATTTCGCAAAATTATTACTTCTGAAGTCTTTTTTTTTTTAGAAATTACAATGAAATACACGATACGATCGATATAAAATTAATATTGAACGCGAAGAAATATAAATAAACGTCATCGATAAAGGGCGGAGGAACAAATCATCACCAGGTGAATCCTCGAAATGACGTTTTGATAGCTCAAATAAACAAAACACGAATTTCGCAAAGGAACAGATCGACCATTCATTGTCCACCTGTTCGTTCAGCTAACAGTTATCGAAATTCCCATCTCCGCTTCTCCAGTGGCAGACGATGACCGATACAAACGTATTCGTCTTTAATTACACAACTGCACCGGGTTAATTGCAACGCGAAAGCTCGTTGCTCGCGATAATAAAAGTGCAACAAACAGACGTTTATTTGCATCCCTCGAACGAACCTGAAACAATTTCACTGCAAGCAATAACGAACTGTTCGAGGGAATATGGATACCAATCGCGTTTCATTTTGAACCGTGTAAAAACGAAACTAGGCGAAGATAATTGGACTAACAGGAATCAGGCTTCCCTAACTCGCAAAAACAAATGGCACAAGGAAATTATTTATTTTTCTTTACAACTCATCCTCCCTTCTTTATTTTTCAACGATTCTACTCTGTATTTTATTCATTCAAAGAGGAATGGTATTTCAACTAGTCACTCGAGTGAAGCATATGGAAAATTAAATTTATTTATCGAGAAATAAATTGTATTTAACCTATGATGTTGGATTTACTTTTGTGAAAACTATTTAATTCACGGATAGAAAACTGTTTCGTGATCGCGATTCCCGGGGTAATGCATTCGCCGGGTAATTGCCGGGCTAATCGCGGGTAATTAGGGCCTTAATGAGGGCCACCGGGTCGCGTGTAACGTACGCTCCGCTTTATGAATCTTAACAAGCGCGAGAACAAGCCGCCTGGCGCGCTTGTACGCTCGCAAAATTGCACGCGATTCGGCTCCGCCTGAAAAACTATCAACCTATCTTCTTGAGATTTCAATTTTCAAATCGATCAATAATCCCATTTTCAATGGGCCAATAAACGTGTCAAATGAATGAATCTAATAGTGATAAAAAATATTACAAATTAAACGAAGGAAATAAGAATTCAAGGGAGGGTTGAATCAGATAAATTTCTACGGAAGAAATTAGTCGGTGTCGAAATTATCAAAAATTTGATGCAGCTGCCAAGTTCATTCATCGTTCGCGGTAGCAACGAATAAACTGATTTAAATGTTTACCTTTCTTATCTCGCATAAATTGCAAGTGTGCATAATAAGTTTAATTAACGAGCTCGCGTTAAGGGCCGTCTCGTGAAACGTGCAACACGCAACCCCTCGCTTCCATAGGGGATGTAAGCAGCGACTGAACTTCACTTGCTCGATACTAATTACATTCCAAACAGAGCCTTAATAGCACTGTGATTTTTCATCGACCTCATTCTTATGATTAATGTAACCAACCCTCCATCACAATCTTTTTAACATAAATTTACAGTGAAATTTATCACTCTAAATGGTGTATACCGATGCAATTTTAACTCGACGAGGATAAAAGACCATGTGGCCTTTTATGAAATTTTTTTATATTTTTCAAGAAATGGATATTCGTATTCATTATCCGAGGACCGTTTTAATTGAAATAATTTGCAACCATTGAAATAAGGAATAAAACAACGAAAGCCTGTTTCCATTGAAGTATCAAGATGGCGTCGAGGCTGGTTCCTCCGTTCTGCGAACGTAATTCACAATACCATCCCCCTCGCTCCCCTCCCAGCCCCTTTTTTGGAACACGTTACGCCCATGGAATACGTAATAGTGTGATATATGCACGTAATGCATCTGGAGTGTTCAACACGCACTTGGTGTATATGGGTGAAAGAATATCGCACACCACCAAAACACCCCTCGATCGTCTATTTAGCATATCAATCCCCTCGTTACTTCGCTCTTTCGTTCTGCGAAAACGCCATTAAAATTCGATAGATGCCACTTTTCTTATAGGAATATAATAGAAACTGGCTAGGGGGTTGAATACTGCTAAAGTGCTTTTAAGTTCATAAGTACTGGTACATTTAAAATTTAATTTCTAATAAGTTATATCAAAATGTTGTAATGTGTAAAATTAAAATTTCTTAAGCAAACTGAAACACTTCGGAAATCTTATCAAAGGAATACCTAATTCATTTTGAAAAACACAGATTAACCGATACCGAAGGAACGCTGGTAGTCGGTTTACGAGAAGAAAAAAATAAATTGCAATGTTAGATGCTGTGCGTGAGATAGGCGTGGAATTTTGTCTACGTTCCCGATAATTGAATACAGGTTCTCTTTAAACGAGGTAATTTGATGCCGCTTGCGCTGCTTCGCACCCTTACGCCCAACCGCGTTGTAATTACCGTTCTAATTGTCCGGTAATTAACCGCAACGTGATTCCAGCATGCTTACGAATGTTTCCCACTTTTCAGACACGGTTTCTGAAGAAATCTATGCGATCTTCATTTCGGATCGTACATATCTAAAGAGAAGCTTTCTGTCGAAATTTTATCAAGCTTCGAGCGGACGCACGATTCGATAATTTCGTAATTTGTTCGCTACGATGACGCTGGTGTTAAGGAGAAGAATCTTACCTGTGTTTCCGTCAACGATAGCGCCTGCGCCAGCTGCTTCCTTTCAGCGCCGACCACGTAGTGATTTTTCTCGAACGCGTGCTCCAGCTTCAGCAATTGGCTGGGACTAAACGCCGTTCTTATTCTTTTCGGTTTCCTGAATGGTTGTAACAAGAATCCTGGTATGTCGGGACCTGAAACAGAGATGAAAAGACAAATTACTGGGTGTTGGAAGGCGATGATAAATTTGAAAGATGGGAGCTTGTATCACTCATCGGAGTAACCCTAAAGACGTTACTGACAATGGTAATTTCTTCTTTTTGAAAATTAGAAAATAAAAAATTGCAATTCCTTAAATTCTTTTCAATTTCTATTTCAATTCCTCCAATATCTATCTCATCCATCTGCCCCAAATACAAGAAAACGAAGGGGTTGTAGAAAATCATGAATAATTAAGAGAAGAGTATAAATCACACAGCAAACTCGTCCAATTCAAGCGGACAATGTTTTACCAGATGGAAGGAGATAACCCGATGTTCGGTGATAATTCATTAGGCACTAATTAATTTTTAAACGGCATCATCGCGGTGGCTGTCGTCGCAGGGGTAAAGAACGACACGCATGCCTGATTCGCTCATAAGAGCCGGCTATGCATAAGTCTTGAAGAAAATAAAAAAAAAAAAGGCTAAAATGAACCAGCTGCACGAGCTCGGCTACCTAGAAGTCCGTTCGGGTAATTGAGTATTCCCGCCTCGAAAGAGTCATGTCGATCGACCGATACCTACGTCTGCCGGAAGTCGGCCCGGAATACTTTGCCCGGAAAGCTCGGGACGATAAATCGCTCGATTCTCGACCCGTTAACTCTCTCCGCCAACGTTTGATCTGAATCAAATTTCCAATTTTCACCCTCGCTAATATCAAATTTTCTTTTGTTGCAATTTAAAAAATTTCCATTTGCTACCTTGGATTATTAATAATTGTTATTAATGTTATCATTGGTGCTGTTGATGATTATGATGTGATAGTGGTATTTGTTTACAAGAAGCCAAGGCAGCATGTTCCTTCCATCAAGGATGTAAGTTACGCGTTAAGCCGTAATCGTAAGAACGCTCGCACGTGGAAACGCATCTTATTTAAGCTTGCGCGTACATACATACGTGATGTGGCCATTAAATCGGCCCTCTTGCCGACCTTCTCGAGGATCGTGCGTGCGGCTTAAAGACCCAGTTAACATTTCAAGCGTTTTACCTAGAGTCTTTGCATGACAATGCATCGATCGAGGCTTCGATTTAATTACCGATCGCGTTTCCTTCATCATTCCACGCTGATTCTTTGTAAATATCTTCGACCCATCAATTAAAGACACAAAAGATCTGATTAACATTTCAAGATATTTATTCAGCATCCTTTGCATGACAATGCATCGAAGCTTCGATCTAATCATCGATCGTGTTTTCCTCAATTTTAATTACTTTCTCAACGATAAATGATACTTAGTGTCGTGTCTGAATAAACGTTATGCAAATTTCATTTGCATTCTAATTACTTCGTAATTAGTATAAACGTGTAAAAAGATTTCTTGGTATCTTATTAATTAACGTACACCGATCGAGAGAAACCCGATACAAGTGTACGTACACGTTCGGTTTTGATCACGAAAGCTTCGTAAACGTGATTCATTAATCTGTTAATAATTGCAGACGTCGTTCGATATTATCTGAGGGATCGTTAACGTCGTTGTTGCATGACAAATATCGACTTTTTACACGGTCAATTAATATAGATAAGCTGATGCTTTTAACTAGAAGTCGTTCATAAGTGGGTGACATTTGAGACGTACTGAGAAATAGGATTTCAATAATTCATTAGTGAACGAAATCAACCCACTATATTTTAATTGCAAAATTATTATTTCAAGGGTGGTAAATTTACAATTAAAAATTTTACAACTTTAAAAATTAAATAAAAAAAAATACAAGAATTATACAAAGAAAATCAATGATTTGGCGGTTGACCAATTCAGAATGCATTGTGGATTATTGAAGTTATACAAGGGTAGTGCACGAGCACATGAAGCTGTCCGTCGCAAAGTTCCTTCGACAGTTGAAGTTATAAGAAAATTGCACTTCAACTTCGTTCAAACGCGATGTCATGACCCCCTTACAGGATAATTACAAGCTACTCCATCATGTAGATATTATTCGAATACAAAATTTGAAGAATTGTAAGTATAAAATGATTCTATATTACGGGCTATTCAGGTCCGACATTTTGACTTTCATACTACATAATCGCTGCAACACGTCATCTTTCATTCTTTTTATGAATTTTTCATTCGATACACTTCCTGTTATTAATTCCATTTAGCTTTCACTTAGTTCTTCCATTCCTTTTTTCTATTCTATGCTATATTGCTTTTTTTCACTTTCTCCTTGTTCCCTGATCCTTACCGTTTACACTCCCCTATCCTTCGAACTGAATTTCAACGATAAAATTTCTTATTCTATAATTATTTTATTAGTTCATTCGCTTTCTCTTTTTATTACTATTTCTCAACAAAATTAATCTGAATTTGTTTAGGATCTTCATGATAGAAACATCCCCTGATTTCTTTTAAAATTGCATTCAACTATATTTATTATTTTTTATTTGCCTAACGATGATACTTTTCTCTGTTCAATTTCTACAATCTCTGACTTTCTTTTCAACCTCGAAATCCACTCTCTCTCTCGCCCTTTCGGTCATATCATTTCCATCCCCTCGTCCTTTGGAGCGCGTCGTTAGAGAAACTCTAGGTGCTTCCTAGACGTCGCCCACGGGCGCCCCAGCCAAAGAAGACGCAGAAGGTGGTCGCAGAGCAAAGCAAGGAAAAGACGAAGGGAGCTAGACGGCCTGTAATTACGCGAAGGTTGCCCGCGCGCGCAACTCGAGCCGCCCAGAGCGACTCGAAATTACTGAAAAATAAGAGCAAAATAGCGAACGTGGATGAAATTATATCCACGTTTCTCCAGCGACACGAAACCGCCGTCTATGCCGTCCACCCGTCCCGCTAATGCGTTTTTAATTGTTAGTCTAACGCCTGGATGAACTCCCTGCCTCAACTTGACCCGCGATACGCTCAAATAACTTTATTACTGCGAATCTCCTTCTTTTTTCGAAAATTCTTACCGTACGAATTCATCCTCGGCAAAAATATCGAGCGAGACAGGGATCGCTTGAATTACGCAGTCGGCTAAACAATTAAGAAGCGCCAATTACGGAATTAAGTATGCAAATCGGACGCCGTATATTACCGGCCGCGTTCGTAATTATGTAAATTCGCGACAACAATCGCGACCGGTGCTGAAGGAAACGCACGAACGGACACGGAGGCAGAAAGAACGAGCCACGGTATCGGTTAACTCACGACCGACGCTATTGAAACCTTTAAACGCGTGTAAACCGGCGAGAAACCGTGCTGCAGAAAATTACCATTTCAATCGTGCTGCGAGTAGTTCGGATTAATCGTCCGTGGTGCGATTGAAACGACGCTCTTTCGATGGAAAATCCAACAAGATCCCGATTTTCTAATGAACACGCATACGAAACTATTAGCCGATCGACCTACTAAAGTGACTCCTCGATTGAACTCTGTATCTTTAAGATGCAATTCAATTTTCAATTTCATTTCAGCGTTATTTTATACTCGGACGTGCTTAAGGAAAATTACAAGCCTATTATTTTTCCGAATGGCAAATTAAATCCGAGGATTTACTATTACGATCTATTGATTATGTATAAGAGACAGGCTCGTCAACCGACGTCTCTACAATCGTTTATTCCAATAGCGTTGATGCTCGAACAAACAACGGCAAAGGGAAGAGGAGATCCGCGGACGGAAAGAAATCGGATGATCCGATTGTTCAATTTGCACGGTGGATCGTGGTTCGATCGGTGGAACGACGATCGGGAACAGCGATCGAGCGTGACGAGTCGCTCAATAAAGATGTCAGTCCGATTCACAAAGAAGCGAACGAGCAACGAGAGAGAAATAAAAAAATGGAGATCGACGCGCCATTGTCGGTGTGCAGAGATCGGCGACAGAGACTCGTTCGAAAATCGTTGTTAACAGAAAAAAAAGCAGCCACCGAGGGGAGAGAAGACATGAGGAACCCTACGATCGATGATGTTGTTGAGGAAAAAAAAAAAAATGAAAAAATGATTGGGGAGGCTACCGAATGTCATTGTCAATGGCGGACACCCCACGGAGAGAACGTCACGAGGGTAAACGCCTCTTTAATAATGCTGATTAATACGGCATTGTGCCTCGAGTTTTCGGCCAATCAGACGCGTGTACAGTTTTTATTGAAATAAAAAAAACTGTTGAAAAGAGCTTCGAATTTTTTGAATTACCATTTTTCTAAGTTTCTCATTTGATTATAGTAATCATTCGCGTCAACCGATTTTCTAATTTCTCTTTCATTTTCCACGTTAGTTTCCAAGAAATTGTTCTTCCACGATATAAATTTGCATGACCAAACAAACGAATCAGTTTTATCATAAAAACTGTTCTTGCATCGTGCCGTTCCACGGTTTACAAGTTTCACTTAACAAAAGGGTAATTACTCACAATAGCTAATGGTAATTGCTCGTGACTTAACTACAAAGGCAATTCCCTTTCGTAATATCAATTCCCCGTAAACAGTGTCGACGGCAGGCCAACGGGATTCGCTATCACGTCCATTCCATTTGCGCAACCGTGTATTAGAGGTAATTAGTATTGCAACTGTTCGTTCACCGTTGGCAGACGTCATTAAAAAATCACTTCGTGCCAACTCGCATAACGACGCACTAACTGAACAATAAATTTGTCAGAGATCTACAACTCGAAAAACAACGTTTACTCCTCTGCAGAGGATCATCAAACGTTTCTAATTTCATTTCAACAATAAAATATCATTTTATTTTATCTTTATATTTTATCTCTATTCATTCCCATGAATTATTAATTCTAATTTAAAAGCAGATTAGAATTTTTATTTTTAACTCGCTGTGAAATAGATTGACAGAGAATCTTTGTTGTTTCAAGAGCGACCCTATCAGAAAGTCGCCTCTTCTAATTAATACAGATAACACGGTATAATGTAGCGTAATGAAAAATAAAATCGTTGCTCGTCAACTGGTCGTCGATAACGTGACGATTAGGAAATCCCGTGTCTGAAAGAAATCACTGAAGTATAACTTCCGTTATCGAATAGTTTATTATCTGAAGGTTCAGCTATCTCGACGATGTTTCTTTCCTCAAATGAGGTTAATTATAGAGCGATATAATGGACCATAATAATATGTAAACAGTGTAAACGATATAGCGGAATCATAAACGATTAAAAATTTAATATTCGAACGTGAGGCGGAATCTAAATTCCTGGTTAATTAAAGAAATCAAGAGTAGTGAAAAGAAGGTGGAGTTTACGTTAACAACGAAATATGATATCGGCGAATCAGCAGTTTGTAAGTTGCAACAGCTGCGTTTGGGTTACGCACACACTTTCCATCTGACAGGAAAAAGTTAATCGAATTAAAGAAGCAAAACATTAAACGAATCGCTTTTAAATTGCCGCAATTACCATTAATATCAATCTCACTGTTTTCTCCAACGTTTTATTATCAGAAACCACCTTCTTCATCGTAAATATAACGATATCCTGTTTGATCTATTTATTTGCTCGATTTCATCATGTAATATGTAAAACTCAACGGAAACAAATAAAACAGAAGATTACTGTATCTAAATGATGCAATGATACAACAACAATCTCGAATTAACTGTTCTAAACACGAAAAATAATTCGTTAGTTTATCTAGTGGTAAGAAAAAATTGTTTCGTCACTGTAATTCGATAATATAAGTATAATAATATGTATGTAATTCCTGGTACACGTAATTGTTTCAAACTTCCCTACATATTAATCAATATTACACTCCTTCAAGATTAATAAAACAAAAATAATTTTTCTTGTTCAAAAATAAGAAAAATTTTCCATAAATTCAAGCATCTAGATTTTCATAATCATCATTGATCTATCATCGACACTTGCAGGCATTGTAATCACCAAGCTCCATCGTTCATCCTTACAAAATCTTCTTCAAAAGATTGTTACGATCCTTATACTTTAAAGTTAGATGAAAATAATAAACCTTTGCTCGATTTAACAATCTTAGTGTTTCTTCTTTAATAATCAAATAAATCAGCAATAATAATTGTTGCTCAGAACGGCTTCGAGGAATTATCTCTTGCGCGAACCTTTGTGCTTCGGCTTATCTGTTTTTGCATCAGCTTAATTTTCGATCACGGTGACAAGCTATAAATATACGGTGATAATTACTAATGAAGTCTGCTATTCAACGCTTTTTACCGCACCGTTCCTGCCTAAACCCATCCGGTTTCATCTACCGCTTCCGCGTAAATTCAACCGGCAGCCTCTTTCGTTCATAGCCGATTCAATTTGACGAAATAGCGTGAAACAATCGCCTGAAGAATAATGAAGAAACAAAATATTCCTTTTTCAATCATTTTAACGAGACAGTTGGCAAGAAGCAAGTCGAAAGTGAATTGACCATACAAGATCAACTGAGACACAAGGAAGAAGAGGTCGCAAAGAAAAAGAGGTTCTCTTGGCACCATTATAAGTCGGAAAGGCCACGTTGGAATAGATTACAGAAAACGGCTGGAGAATTCCTTATCGAACCCATTCCACGTGTTTTATTTCCCTTGTTGCACAGTGTCTACGCGAAAGAGTAGGGTGGAGGATTCGAAGCTGTTCTCCATGGTAATTACCGATACCGACTAATTGCTAGATAAGAGGTTACCTCCTTCCTCGGTTTCCTTTCGCTCGCACCACGCATCGAGCGTGAAATCTCACGCGGCGAACAGTTTTCTGCGCGATCGCCTCGCAAAACGCTCAATTAGCTCGAGGAACAAGGAGACAATTCTCTTTCCTACCTGGTGAACCTCGTTTAAGTTGAAATCGTGCTCGAACTTCGAGTTCTACTTCTTCCTTTTTATTTTTTTACCCCCTCTGCATTTAGAGTGATAGGTTGTCCGGTTTGGACAGATAATTGGGGAGCAACGGAAGCCGATCGGTAACGTAAATTCTCGTTTCACGAAAGGTGAAGTTAGTCGGTGAAAAGAAAAAAAAATGGACAAGATCGATAGAAGTAAAGAAATTACGTATAATTTTCTGAGTAAAGAGCGGTAATTTTCGAAATAATATCGAGACTTTTGAAAAATAATTGGACTATTAATTATAATATCATGGATGTCTTTTCTTTTTTATATAATACTGACTCAACAATTTTCTGTTTAAAATCAGTCTCGTTACTCTCCTGACAGAGCTCATACATCAAGCTGATAATTTGAAAATGAAACGAGCCATGAATTCCCTCGTTACACCGAGTTACACCTCGGGGATGCAAGTAGGGAAATCAAGGAAATTCTACGAACTGTCGTGCAATTCTGCCAACGATACGCAGCATCCATTATCCATTGGAAAGCTATTAGATAAGTGGTTGGGTTTTACATGAAGCCACGTTGAAAATACTAGCCTATCCTCGGATACTGAAGAAATAACAGTAATCGGATGGTAACGCGACTCCTCATCCTGGAACAAGGATCGTTTCCACGAACGGCGCCTCGAGTTAGTCTCTGACGAGACAAAATTGAGTAAAAAGAAACGAATCGAAGGCACATAGTCGCGAAATTGCCCATGGCGTACCGTTTGTAAATACCATAATGTCCTTCAAGAAATTTTAAACCTTCCTGAATTTTTACATTTATTTCTGAAAATATCCGATTCTGCCCTTTCGCTGTTCTCCGATACAATTTATCTCCGAAGGTACGAGTCTCTCGTTCGAGTCTCTCCCTAGGAAACGGTGGCAAAAAAATCGCAGGGTGTGCACAGAATCCATGGAACAAACATGGCGACGATTTTTTTCAACGAACCAACTAGTTAGCCGGTTAGTTTCTCTACCGGGTGGTCGTATACGAGACGATCGCGGTAAATTTATGGTAATTGTCCACCGGGACCGGAGACGTTTCGCCTTTACTCGCGTACCTGACCTCGTAAAGTAACTTCGAGCCAACCCGATGACGCCTGATTGCCACCCGATTAGGTATCGAAGCGTCGCCTAACCCAACAACTGAAAATACGAAAAAGGGAAACCCACGGATGCTCGTACTTGGTTCTATTCGATCGACACCAGCAAGAAATCCTGCCAGGAGATTTTTCGATTGAGCGATTAATCTTCCATCGAACCATTGAATATTTTAATGGTGGGTACAGTTTCTCTGATGATGTTGAGCAGGATTTTTTTGTTCGATCGATGTATAATTTAGAGTTGAAATTTAATTTAAGATTTCTTTTATTTATTGAATTAAATTTGATTGATTATTGGCACAGGAATGCAATCAAATATAAATGACTGTCATTGGGACAATAGGAATAGCGGTTACGAGAATACTGGTTCTGCGGTAACATATCACATTTGATATCCGTGAAAATAGTAAACCAGCGTTCAATAAATAAACAAGAATCTTCCGTAACAAAATTTCATTTCTAACGTTGAACGATGTTACACGGGTTACGATTGATGATTTACGATCCGTTCCCGATCGTAGATAAAACTAACCAACCGTTGCCGGATGAACGAAGCGACAAGCCGTAAAATTTCAAATGCTCGCGCTTTCCTTCGCGCCTTGTAAACGCGTGAAATTGACAGCGTGCCGATTGAGAGCTTATCTCGAGACGTTCTCATTTGCACGATATATACACACTTATTTGCACTTCATCGTTAATTAAAATTGCTTCGCGTTAAAAGCCATTTATCAACAACCGCTAATCGATATCCGACAAACTGTTACACAAATACATGTTTCATGAAAATTATGAGTTTTCTTGAGATATTATTTTCCCTTGCAATTGTTTTGTAACTCTCTTCATCGGATTGTTACAGAAATGAAATGAAATGAAATTTCAAGAATTATCTAATTAATCGTTTCTTCCTTTTTCAATTAAAAAGCATTCTCGTTTAATCCTTCCTATCCCGTTTCATTGATGATGAACTCGAGTCAACGATGACTGGATGGACCTCTATCTCGAGATTACGATAACTCGACGTATCGTGGAATAATTCATAATTGGATGGGACACGGTTATCACGAACGTATGAATCAATTACGCGGCGACGAGGGCCGAGGCTTGTTTTGCTTCTCGCTCAAACTCGTGGGCGAGATAACAGGGCACACCGTGTGGACAAAACAACAACGTTACAAAATCACGATTACGAAATCTTTGCGTAACTTCTCTTCTAGGGGGACACATTCGAGACGTAATAATTGGTGGTCGATTTTCTTTTCAATTAAATCTTAAGATAATTAAGAATTTTTGTAAAGCCCTTACTTTATATTAAAATAATCTGTGTAATAGAAGCGAAAGTCTACAGCCAGAAATCAGTGTAGGGGAAAGCAAAGATCGTTACAGTTTGTCCAGACTGTATAGTCCAAGTAGTAAGTCGTGAAACATCGCGTGAGCTTCGTGGCGCAAACAGACAATCGACCGACTACGATCTAGCCACGTAAATTAACTCTTTTTTTTTTTTTTTTTTTTTTTCGTGACGGCAAAAAACCTCTTCGATATCGCGTACACGATAAACACCAAGTCGAACGTGATTTTGAAATAATTCAGAATCCACGCTTCCAATGGTCAAACCGCTAAACAAAAAACTAAACAACAGCAAGAATTCTGTTGTTGACGTCCGTTGAATTGCTTTTGCAATGAAAATAATTTTTATCGGTACCATTTTTCTTATCCTCCATATCCATATCGTTACGTCACTGAACGTCATTCGAAAGACAGGCAAAAATTTGAACGTACCTCCGGGAAATCTGTGAGGAAAGATCCTTCCGTGCCTGGAGAGTAGCCAGGGATAGAGCGGGTAGCTGTCTCTGGGTGGCTGATGAGGATGAGGCGGAGGATGCGGTGCACCGGGTGCGCCGCCATGGGGATAAGGTGCGTGCGGTGGGCCATGGGGTGACGCGCCATGGTGTGCTTGAAGGGCCACGGCAAGGTTCGCCGCTTGGAAATGCTGCGCCGCGGCTAAATTCGCAGCCAAAGCTAACTGCTGCGTGTGATATTCGTTTTGTCCAGTTTGAGGCCCACTCGGACCGTGTCCCGGCAGTCCGTATAAGGATTTCAACTGTTCCGCCGCGACTGCAGCCGCGGTAGCTGCACCGGGCGGCGGTGCAAGGTAATTCGGACTCGGTCTGACCACTCCTGGCGGTGGTTGCGGATGAGAACCGACGGGAGAGTCTCCGTGAGGTATCCTGTGAGGAGGACTAGGGCTGTTGTTGGGCGTCGAACCACCGCTGTGACTATGCACCGCTGTCCGACTGAAATCCAAGTGCGTCGCGGTAGACAAGTGATGATGATGGCCGTGATGATTCCCGTGATGATGATGATGGCTACCTGGGTGAGACGGCGTTCGCCGCGAGTTGGGGTACGATTCTACGGAGGAACTTCGAGACACTGGACGGTCGGAACCCTCGGAATGAGCACCCGGGGATCTCGTGGTGACCCGACGACTACGCGGCGACGATGATCCTTCGACAACGTCCATCGGACTTCCATCGTCCCTCTCGATCTCCACACGTTCGAGTCGGTCCAGACGGTCCTCCCGACCCTGTCCACCACCGCCAACGATCGAGTCGATGCTGAAGCCGATCTTCGGCTTCGAGGGCACCGGAACAATTGGCGTCGGCGCGAGCGGCATCATCGTACGATTATCGTACGCTTGGCCGATGGTTAGCCCACTTTTGCTAGACGTACGAACCCCGAGCGAGCTGCTGCAATCAGGTACGCCGCATCCCTGCAACCACCTCGGCTCCGGCTCTCTCAGCAGATCAAGAATGTCTGTCTGCCGAAGCTCGAACCACGGATTACTCCTCGCGAACACTTTGAATTCACTGTTCGATAACACTGATAAACTCCTAAAGTCCTGGGACAGTGTCCCTGTGAATTTATGATCACTTCGATCAGTCTTCTTTCAACTAGTCTAGACGAATACTATGAACCAAGGTTCATCGTCCAATGGAATCGATCTTGTAACCTATGGAACACTCTCAACTTTTGTTCAGTCTCAAACACCACGATCACTGCTGATCATCGTTAATTCTCTGTAGTCACTTTAGGGATCATCCAGTCCACGATGATCCCTGTACCATCCGGTTGTCACCACTGAAGAGGATCACGAAACCAGTCGGTTAACCGTTCAACCGAGTCGATCCGCGACGCGCACTGGCATCTCACGATCGCGTCTCTCCATCGAGTTTGCCCGCGGCAGCAAATTAGCCGTGCCTGTTCCCCGAAAATACCGAGTCGAGACCAGACCGTGTTAACCTCCAACAGGCAGAGCTCTCCGCGGCTCTGACGGATGTTCCTGGCACGAGAGCTTGCTAGTGTTTGAGCAAATTACAGGCTAAACGAGGCGCGCTTCGATGGTGGTGGGGAGGTTTTCCAAGTCTCCTCTGATCCCCACCACTGGCAATCGTACGGTTTGGTAGAGGGAGGGGGTTAAAATCGACCAGGGATGGGCGGGCTCGGTACAGTAGGAACAGCGACACTAGGCGTACACCAGCCTCGACACGATTGGACGGTTCGGACGAGGTAGAAACTCGCTGGTCGGAACCCAGCCTCGCTGCTCCGAATCCTCGACGCGCGTTACATGTTGCAGAGGGGCAACGCATTAGCCCGCGATGGGCGTTAAACTCACGTTTTTGTCGTGCGATGAAAATGAGTCGTTTAATTAATACGTCTGGACCCCTCTAGCCCTTCTCCTTCTCAAACTTCATCCCCCTCCACAGCCGCCTCAGGCGGACAATATCTTCCCCTCTCCCTGACGACTCGCGACGACTCGCAGCTTTTTTCTCCTCGTTCGTTCGTCTTCGGAGTGGCTTTCTTTTTCTCCGTAGGCCCGCTAGAAAGACCAAAGTGTCCGCTCTTTTATCCTCTTCTTTCATCATTTCTCTCCTTCTCTATTCTTGATTTTCCGCGATGTTAGGTCAAGTGCTCGAGATATAATATTTATATTTTTATAAAAACGATCGCTTCAGGATTGATCGGACTGCTCTGGTTTCGCGTTGAATAATTTCATTGAAGATTTAGGATTTCACCGATGCTCCACTTTGATCTATTCACTATTGCAGTTGCACAGATGCAATTAAGGTGTCAAAACGCGTACGATGACACTTTCTTCGAGCCGACCCGTTAGGCATCACGATTCTAACTGACGTATCTCGTTTAATGGCTGTGCTTAGAGCAGGTTCCTTCTCGCTAATGACCGGACTCGGGACAGCAACAGTGTCGAAACGTGACGAGAAATTACACGTTCAAAACATATGGAACACGATAGTTTACGTAACTCGGCTTTGCGAACGATATCCTTCGAAGGACCTCGAGATATACCTTTGAAACTATCGCCAGCTGAACTTTTCCTCTAGCTGATTATCCTTTTAACGGTGAAATCGTGGCTGACCGAGATTTTACACGAACGGCAATTAGAAAATTGATTTTTCCAAGTTCTGTGTAATTCTATCGTATCGATTCCCGACCACGATAATTAGCCACGTATGTAAGTAGCCATTCTTGATGGCAGAAATCTTGAAATAGCAAAAACTATAACGTTGGTTCGTTAAGCTGGCTGGTAGGAAAAAAATATGTTCGCTTTGATGATTGCTACCTCTCTTCCAAGTCGACACGCAGATTACAGTGTAAATGCAGCTTCGATTAGGTTTATTTTTCGCATGGTACACGCCCGTGATTTCTGCACGAATGAGTCGGCCTTTTAGGTACTTTGTTATTTACAGTTGTAGAATTATATACCTTTAAGTTCAAATTTGCATCCTGCGATTCCTTGTAATTCATATTTTTGCAAAAATTCATAGTTGCAAGTTGAGATCCTTTATAATCCATATTTGCAAAATTAAATTCACTTTGCAGGATAACACTTAAAATTCTTCCACTTTTTTACATACGTGAAAATAAATACAGCAAAAAAGATATTGAAATGTTTTGATACGAAACACAACTAGTAATTTTAATGAACTTCTCTGATTCTGTTTTCTTATTAGATACACATTTCTTAGTACATTTGTCTTGTTTAATGTGTTAGGAGAAGTAATTCAACAGCTTAATCAAAATCTTGTTTCGAGATGCCTGGGGTAGATATTAAAACTGGTACATTGATGCTTTCTGATCTATAATTAAGATAGTATATCCTTCTTTCTCGATGTAATGTATTCGTTTCAAACCATGTTTCATATTCGTTTGATTACAATACTACGGTAGAAATGAAATCCGATTCAATATTCGATCGATCTTCGGCTTTGAATTCGAGAACGGTTTTTAGTGACTGCTCTAAATAATTGTAACCGGATGAATGTTCCAAAAACGTTACGGAAATATTAATAATTAACGTTCAAGAATGAGATCAGATTGATTTTTCATGAATCTCTAAGAATATCATACTACTTTCCCCTCAACTTGAATAATCCTAAAGCAACGAAGAAGAACAACTTTCTATTAAACTTCCAAAGATCAATATATGTACTAATTTTTCGTTATCCTTGCAAAAGCAAAGAAATTGTTACACGATGCATTGCCCAACCGCAAAATTCAAAGAATTAATTTATCCCTGTATTAATTTTATATTTACAGCACAAAAATCTCCTATCAAGCTACCTTATTTCAGAAGCTTTGAAAATTCTCTGAAATTATTGGAAATAAAAAAAAGAAGTAAAGTCATCTTGTAAAAAGATTAATTGTTCGTATGGAAGGGTAGGTAACAACCCCTGTTATTTCGTAGTAGCAGCCATGGCAGAGGCCGATTTCTCACCCTTAGCGAACGCTATAATATCGCGACCGGTATCACGTTTCCAACACGTGTGTAGGTGTACGACACGTGTAAAGGAAGTGGGGATATTCAACATGGCGACTTTGCACACATCGTACACACCGGTGCACCAATGCGCGAACAGAGCACGCCCGTTCCAACGGTTCTCCGCTCCTTTCCTCTTTTATCAGCTCGTATGTTCACTCCTCCGCTCTTACCGTTTCCTTCGCATCTGTTACCCAATTCTTCCTCGCAAATCGTCAAATTATTCAACAGTTCGATCCATAAAATCCACGTTTCAAAAACCACAATTTTTATTTTCTTTCATTTTCATCGTGAATACCCTCAATTTTTACCGAACGAATAATTTGCATATCCTAAGGGTGATAATGAAACAGAATTTAAAAAATGGTCACGTTTTAAAGGTATTTTAATATCTTGCGTCCAGTAGTACACGAAGGACAGAAACGAACGACGCGAACAAAACGTTTCCCTTTAGAAAATTTGCGTGCACTTTGTACTAAAGCGAAGAGGTGGAAACCGAATAAGCCTGCGAGTCCCTTCTCGTGAACGGTCACACCTGTGAATCCCTTTTAGCCTCTTTGAACGCTGGACGCCCGCGGAGATGATTTTTGCGTTGTTCGCGTCGTTCAAAGAGAGGAATGAAAGAAGAATGAGAATAAATGGAAACGATGTTGAAACGTCAACGATACTTTCGTGGAGTTACGGGTCAAATGTTGAAGAAATACGTTCTCCGTTCGTTTTTTCTTCGGGAGAAAAAAAAAAACAGAAAAATCGAGCGAAAGGTTACACGAAAATCCGTTATTTCGGAATTAAAACGCTCGACGATTCGTTAGAGTGCATTGTCGCCGCGCGAAAATATAATGGAAGAAAAGAAAAATAATGGCCGTAGTCGCAACAATCGACGAATCCTGTCGCCATTGTATCGCGTATTGTTTGAAACCCTTCGCAACAATGAACTCTTTTTCCCGGTCGCGTTCTTTCCGCTCGAATTTAACCGAAAAATCCTACGAGACTCCGATGTGTTCGCGACTTTTCGATTTCGTCTTTCATCGCTTTTTTTCTTTCTTTGGAGAAGCAAGAAGAGATTGTGGAAATAAAAAATATTTGACGAAATTGATCCTTTCGTTTGTGGCTCTTTGTACGAGCACAATAGGAAATGTAATTGGATAAAGTAGGCGACAATGGCGCTATTTAACGGGTAGCCGCAGTAGAAATGGATTCGCGGTCAGACACAGTAGAATAATTAAAGCAACTATTTCGGAGCTAATTTTTCAGAAATTCTTAATGAAACTAAGCAATTTGATGAACCAATATCCTTCATCTCTTAAAATCAAGATTAAAAAGAGAATTAGGGATTGCTAAATGAATTAAGACCAAAGTAAAATTGATTGAATCAACGAGTGAATAGAAAAATTTTTTTAAAACATAATTTCAAGAGGGAAGTCTACAACCAACGACCGAAATATGAATAATAATTGTATACAAAAGGTGTCCAGCCCTAATCCTTAGAAATGATCGACGAGACATCGCGTACGGGGTACAATGGGAAGGAGAGAAGTCGACGTACGTTTAAAGATTACATTACAGGCAAAATGGCGTGCTTAATCAGGCCATTTATTCGTCGAGCTACGGGGCCGTTCCGATGTGAAAAGGGAGGAAGGTTTTGTGATCTCCCCCAAGGGCAACCTCTCGTATTTTCTGCATTGTGAGTTGATTCCCATTGTCAAGGCTCGTTGCTCGCGTATCCATTACACGTTACAATTATAATAAGCTAGTAATGTCGGAGTAATAGCGCTTCCGGTCCAGAATTCGGACAAAGAATCGTAAGAATTCCGTCCCGTTTCTTTGAAATACAACATTCTAAAGGAAAGCTTCAAAGAAATGTGCTATGTTAGCAAGGAAAAAATGGAGTTTCCTTGGCGCCGACTGAGAGTCACTGACGATTCGCGGTCTCCGTATCTTAAATAACCGGCCAGCACCTATGATTTTCTCGGAACAACCGACGGCCCGATTAAATTGATTCGCAAGCTCGAACGTTGCGGCAAGCAGGAGGGAAGAGAGAAGCCGTAAACGAGGCTGAGCACCGCTTTGCCTCGGTAAGTAAATAAGTTTAAATGACCGCATGACGACGCGACGTTAAGTTCCGCGATCCTGAAAGTAGATTCGCCTAAACGAGCCTAAAGAAAAATGGTACCCAGTGAAGCTTCGAAGTTCTGATAATTCGATTCGAGCAAAATTAAATTTTGCGAATGAATAAAAATTTACAAGCTTTCATCGTGATAATCAAAGAAGGCAAACGTTGTTGCTTATCAAAAATATCAAAGAAAATTCCGAAATACAGATGCCAGTAGGCGATATAAGAGGAAAAGGGAGGAAAAGAATACCGATCAACCGATCCGCTTTTTAATCGCAAACGACAGGACGAGACAATCTCGTGAAATCTCTTGAAATTGTTACTCGGCTCGTGTTATTATCGTAGTGTTCTGTAATCGCGGTCGATATCCCACCGGCGATCGAACGAATACGAAAGTAATTGGGGGAAATTAGGTGACACAGAGTCATTACCGATGCTCGTACAATGTATGTAAGTAAGGTACCTGCTTGAATCCGTAGAGCAACAAGAGGGTACAATATAAAGAGAGAGGTCCGCGAGGGATCGAATGAAGGGTGAACGAGATGGAATCATGTTCGAGGCCATCATCGACGATTACGCATACTTGCTGGCCCATTATGGCTCATTAAAGGGGCCCGATCGGGCTTATTATGTGCTACAAACCACCTCCTCGTCCCTTCGACTGGTTTTATCCTGATCCTCCGCGAAATATAATTTTCGACAAGCACCGAGATAGTAGGAGGGCATCGACCGAAAATTAACGACTCTTTAGGGCAAATTGATCGGCCGTGTTCGCACTCGATTTTTCTCCTCGCTAAGAAATACCATCAAGGTATAGGGGAGAGCGGTAGCGAGATACACGGATCGATAGCGAGAAGAGATCGTCAATTTTTTGAATAAAATCAATTAAATACTTGGAACGCCTATTGTTAAATAAATAATTTTAAAAATCTGTTAATAATTAACGTTCATGCTACCTTATCTCTACGTCAATCCGTATATTCAATAATATGTAGATCGAATAGTTATCATTAGCATTTGAGGTTATCTGATTCGTGCGACCGTAGATTCATACTTGGAAAATTTCATACTAGGCCAAGAAGGATAATTCTTTCACGAACATCGATATACAAGCGATTAATCATTAAACGAATACGATTTGCATTAAATTGTACCATAAGGTAGTTTAATTCGCGGTCAGAAATTACTTTAGAAGCATCCTTCTTTTTTCCCTGCTTGGAGGCAACAAATTGCCATGGCAGGTCTCGTTTTCAGCCGCAATTTAAAGAAGGGAATGTTTACTTACAAAGACGCTGCATTAAGTGTTCGCTAACTCGTTGATACACGCAAGATCCAATGAAACCACGGCACACGCAATGCATCTATTACATTCATCGTTGTTTCCTGTCTGTACGGTTTGCTCTCGAGAGATTCTCAAGTAAAAATTCTCCGACTGTAATCAATCGAGACAAAAAAGGTGAAACTATTTACATGAATATATGTAATAGATATTTACCAATGGTATCGATTATGTGTTTAACATATCAAGAAGGATATTGTCGTAATTACTAGGCATTTAACATTTAATTTACATACGTACCACGTTTGTCGTTCGATCAGGCGTGTTGAAATCTTTTCATCAAAGTTCTCTTCAACCACATCACTGTAAATTACGTACATGTTCGACGCGAGACAGATTCTTTTTACTTATTAGAAATGTATTTAACAACTTTATCATTGAGATGCGTGAGATATTAACGGATATATCGAGATTGATTAACAGGTTCGCGACCGACGCGGGTGAATCGTCCATGTTGACTAGTGACGTATGTCACGTGACTCATCAGGGGGTCCGCGCAAAGCGCGCGCTAATCCCTGTAATTCAAACGGGTTAATGTTAAAATAATGAAAATGGCACAATATTTAATTAAATTACAATTAAT